TGTTGTTGTTGTTGATGTTGTTGTGACCGTTACTAACCTTTTTATACTCGGACACTGAATTCCTCTTTACAAATTTAAGCGCCACCTGAAAACAAAACAAAATTCAGTACCCTTTTTCATACTCTTCGTATTTTATTATTCTAATCAATCTATTCTGTGTCAATGTCTTGAAAGTCACGTTTGCTTTAGGGTCGCTTATAGGAAGGAGGGAGTTAAGGGGTGGGCCATTTAACACTTTTGAAGAGAGGTGTGTGCGTGAGTGATTAGCTACAATCAGAGTTGAATATTTTTTTTTCTTTTAAAGCTTTCATGCACTAGGAAATTTTTTTTCTCTGTTCGTGTGTATGTATAATGTTTTTTTTGTGTAACATGCTTATATCAGCACACTAAACGAGCGTGGATTTTTTATTTCGGAATTCAGGGTGGTGTACATGAATTTTTTTGGATAAAGTATGATATGCTTGCAAGCTATTTGCTTTTCAAAATCACCCACCCCTTCCTCAAAAGGCAAATGGTCCCCCTCCAAATCGAATCATCACGGTGATCATTTGATGAAGAAGAAACCAACATTAAATGAACATACCGGCACATTGTCTTTCTTGCGTGTTGCAGCGACGACCTCTCCAAATGAACCAGCTCCGAGGAGTGTGCCTATCTCGAAGTTAGCAAAATCAGCTGAAATTTACAAATAAATAAGTAAATAATAAGAATACGGTTCTATTACGCTTGTATGTTCGTGATTAACTAAGCTTAATTGAGACCGCTTACTGGGAGAATAGCGGCCCTAACCATAGGCATTTTGGACCGAACTCGCTTAATTTTGCTCAATCAGAAATGTCAAGACCTGGTGAAAATATTCACTCAATACGGCCCTCGTTTTTGTTTTATAAGTAAGATAAAGACTGCATATGAGCCTAGTGGCCCATCGGGCCGGCGTTTATCTCCGGCTTCTGTAGCATGAAGCGACTAGGAGTATTTCTACTTCCCCATGAATAGGATGTCAGTCCATCGCAGGGTTACCCCTCTGCATTTAATTTCTCGGTTCTCATTTATCACTGATATCATGTCTGTTGAGTAGCTGTTATTTGTGATGAAAATTGGCAATATACGCCGGAGAAACTGTTTCACATACCAGTATTAGCAAGTTGCTTGACATACTCAGGTGGTTCTGAATTTTTGACGTCTTCGACAAAATCGGAATCTTCAGGAGTGTAACATCCAGGCAGTGATCGATTTTCGTCGTTTAACGAGTCATTCTCCTGAAAGAATAAAATTCACATTATCCAGTCAATACGACAGAACAAATATTACAGATCGAACATGATATGTAATTTAAAGCAATTTTGAAGTTAAAGTACGTACTCCATAATCGAGGAAAAGTTCACAACCACTGTTTTTCGGCTGTGGGTGACCATTCTTAGGCCTGCTGCCTTCACGTCTTAATTTCTTTCTTCTGAGGCAAGAAAGTAGAAACAAAGTTAATGCAAGACATTCTTGATTAGCGATATAAAAGAGTGCATTTGTTAGAATTTGTAGGTTGCTGTTTTTGCTCTCACCTCAATAATTTTGAACTGCTGTTGTATTGACGTACTTTGAGAACATCCTGTAAGGATATAACAAAAAAACTTATGAAGTACTCGCTTCCTTGTCAACTAAAACATTGAGCTTAATTGTTTCCTTAAGTATTCTGCAGCAAACCGAGTTCTGTTTTGCTTACCCTGTTCTCTGTACGCTTTCGTTTCGTCGGAAGTGGGTCAGAAACTGCTTTTCGCTTTCTAGATGCTCGCTTCTCGTAACTGGATTTTTCTGGGGTGCAACATCCTGATAAAGATCGGTTTTCCTCGTTTAAGAAGCCTCTTCCCTGTAGAGAGAAACCTTACTTAATCAATGCGAAATGAAAGAATAGCTTTGCTGACATTTCAAAGGAAAATAGAAGCAGTGTTTTCAAAACATTTCTAACAGCGTGCCTGACATCATACAACAAGTTCAAATGACGGGGGAAAATTTACTGAATTCTGATTGGTCTTCCGCTTGAAGTCCATCTTAAGACTTCTTTGTTCCTGATTGGCTGAGCGCCTCGCGTCCTGCATTTAGTTGGCTTAGAACGAAGTTCAAAGTGTACTTCAACATTCAACGGCTTTGTTTCATTGGCAAGGAAAAATAATCGGCTTATGGCTTGTAAGGAAGGTAAAAGTTGAACTTCAGCTTTTAATTGAATTAATTGAGATCGTTTATGTTAAATGACTCGAAGGCTTAGACAGAATCTGGACAGAATCATGAGGTCGAAGAAATTCATGGCCGCCAAAGCTAATTCCCGTTCTTCGCTACTGCTTTTCATTCAGATCAGACAAAGTTTTTAATATCTACGGCGACATGAGTAGCATGGATCCTGAAAAATTTTGACTGGGATGGTAAGAACGTACTTCACAATTGCAGAAGTTATTTTACTAGTTCTCTGGATTTATTAGCTTACAACAACTTTCATTTACGCAGAATTTTCTCACTTACGACATCATGCTTCGTGCAAGTGTAAAAAGGTTCTGTTGGTTGGATTTTATGGCGAAATGATCTTTCACTGTCGTCAGTTGTTCAAATCTGTTCAGGTTAGTGATCTTGTATTGTTCTAGCATTTTTTCATGTGGATCAATTTACAAATGACTATTTAAAAATTAAGCTTACTTTATACCAGTATGGGAAGCAGCCACAGTTTCTACAACCAACCTGGTTGTAGAGATGGTTTTTACTTGGCTTACCCTCTTTCACTTGTATTTTCAAATGTCAGAAATAGCACTGGCATGTACGAAGTATGAAACATCTTTTTACATCGATACTAGAAAAAAAAACTTTAGTTTATCTTACCTCGCAATCGAGGGACGATTCATCACATCGTGTATTCTTATTTGAATAAGTATTCTTTGGTTTTTTGCCTTCGCATCTCAAATGGTTTCTCCTGAGAAAAAAGAAGCGAAGATTTAGAAAAAAAGAAGCGTATATTTGTTAGAATTTGACGGCTGAGTTTTGTGTTCTTACCTTGAAAGGCGAGGACTGCTTTTGTATTGTCTTTTGACGAGGAAATTCTGTAAAAATATAAGAAAAATTCAATTTTAAGTTGGTGTTAAGAAACCATTGCAAAACCTCCTCTCTCCGGCATTGTGCAAATATTTTAACGCTCCAAAAAAATGTGGAAAGATGAAACATTCTTTCGTACACGCCCTGTACCGCACCGGCTCGCAAGTATAAAAGTGGATTTCAATCGATTTTAAAATACCTTCTAATTACCTCGATCAGAAGCTAAGCTTCTGCCATTGATTCTAATTCAGTCTGTTAACACATTCTTTTAAGGATTCCGTAAGCTAAATCTTAACTCACCCCTTCCTCTGCCCGTTTTCGCTTTCCCGGAAGGGGCTCAGATTTCGCCTTTCGCTTCCTCGATCGTAGTCCCGATCCCAAAATCGGATTAGCATTCATCTTATTTTCTCCAGATAAATTTGCTTTGTTTGTAACCTGTTGCTTAATCTCAGACATAATGTTCAATCTTGATGAAACAACCAAATAAAACTCAATCGCGAACGAATAGATTACTTGAATTCTCTCCTTGATGAAAGCAAGCTTGTTCGTACACAAGTGCTGGTTTCTATGGTAAACTACACACTAATGTTATGCTGTCGTTTATGACGCTGCTTTGATGTTTTGCTCGTGCTAGTGCTCGCGCGCGTAAAAAAAAAACAATTTTTCTAAGCATAGACAAGGAGTTTTAATCCATAAACGACATAAACGAAAAATGCTGGCCGAGAGCAACGTTTTTATGATAATCTGAGCCCGCCAGTCACAACATTTTCCTATTACATTGCGTTACCGTGAACAGGAACCAGTGCGCCATTATAAAGGCTAACTTAGGCTAACCAGAGTGATATTCACTGCTAACGGACATAGAGTATTTTATTAAACGAAGTGTAATACTCCGGTGTCCAGTTGGGCCGAAAAGCACTCCGTTTAGCGCGAAAGTCGCTACGGTTAGCCTGTTTACGGTTAGTTCTTAATACTTGTAACTACATAGTAGCAAATGGAAAATTTTCTGACTGCCGGACATGGACTCTCCGAAAAAGAACGGAATTCGCCAGCAAAAATGCTAAAATTCTCCTTTATTGAAACCACATCCGAAAAATACAGATCTCAATAGACAGGGCTTTTTTCCTCTCAAATTTTGCGCAGCTCGCAAAATGGTCAACAAAAAAATATGACATGGACTATTCACTAATAAAAATTTCTTAAACGTTGAATATTAGGAGTTTGTTCGATTCTGAAATTTAGGTGTCGATCGTTTTACCTTCAAAATTAAACGAGTTCTAAATATATGTTATTCGCCGGCTTATGGTCGGTCCGTATAGTGAAAAACTGTGACCGAGGTCTTGAAAATGCTGCCCGAGGCTGCGTTTTTATTACTATTATTCTATATTTTCATATTTTATATTTTATGTTGTATATTGTATGTTGTATTATTGTAGCCTAAGCCGTGTATTAAACTGTGATAAAACACAATGGGCATTTGAGAACACAAGGGAAATGTAGAGAAAAAACGAGTTGCAGGCGAGCGTTTTCTATATTTCTCGAGTGTTCTCAAATGTCCGGAGTGTTGTGTCACAGTGTAATACACGGCTTAGGCTTCTTCGTTTGCTTTATGATATGGGCGAAAAACAATAAAACACGCTTTTTCTATGATTTATACTCTGATAAAACATGGGTTTTTGACCAATCAGAGCACGCTTAGGGTCCTATCTATATTATAAATTGTAATATTGTATATTGTATATAGTATATAGTATATAATATTTGTATGTTGTATATAATTTGTATATTGTGTGTTGTGCATTGTTTATTATGTATTGTTTACTGTATATTAAATATTGCATATTGTATATCATTGTATGTTGTATACAATCTTTCACAAGCATCCGATGCGTGTAGATGTTTTCATGAAGCAATATATAAAACACAAATGAAGATAACATACGTTTATAAAGAACACCTATATTTCGACCGACTTGTCGGTCTTCGTCAGGGTGAATGAAGAAGCATCGTTGTACACAAATTTCTACTGTGCCACTGAAATACGAAAATG